AGTTGTTTAATGCACTGAAATCCAAATGGTAAAATAGTTCAGCTGTCACTATAGCCGACTTGAAACATTTTAAAATAAATTTTAAGTTAAATTTTGAAAATGTTGTTAATAATTTAATTTAATTAAAATAATAAGAAAATAAAAGATCTGTTTCTACCCCTCCCGTGATACATATTAATAATGATAAAATGGGTCTCACCTGTATTCTCCTTTTAAAACCATTATATTATATTGGAGTTTGGGGTAACGTGTTATAGCTCTCAGTTAGTAATAAATATCATTGGAACCTTAAAGAAACCAAGTGATTTACTTACATTTCGAAAGCGCAAACGTGGAAAACACGAGAAAATGTTTCTATTTGCCATCATTAGTAAATTGATTACCGCAACAGCTAAGCAGTGTCAAGTGTCTGACCAGTGTCTAGTGATTACTGTAAGCTGTGACCATAAAGGGTGATGTCACATCGAGCAGTCACAAACGATCACAGGTCCCATCTAGCCAGATAGACAAACACACAGACACCCATATAATATATATTAGTATATTAATATAATATATATATATTAATTTAGTAGAAGATATATTATATATATATGCAGCAATCTGTCTCTGTATGTACATAAGTTGTGGAGGGGCTTTATTCATTAAACTCGAGTTACAGTGAATTGAGAAACAAAATGGAAAATGTAGGCAAAAGATATGTTTTCGAAACATATTTTATCTTACCTTAGATGATCTTACCTTAAAATTCAGCATTTAAGGTAATATAATTTTGACACATTTGCACTTTATTTTGCGTACACAATTTGCACAAAAAAATATTTGAGCCAAAGACACCTTTTTCATTGTATAAGGATTTAACTTAATTGAAATAAAAATAAAATAAAATATCTGCTTCTACCCCTTCAGTGATACATATTAATAATGATAAAATGGGTCTCACCTGTATTCTCCTTTTAAACCCAGCTATGAATTATATTGGAGTTTGGGGTAACGTGTTATAGCTCTCAGTTAGTAATAAATATAATTGGAACCTTAAAGAAACCAAGTGATTTACTTACATTTCGAAAGCGCAAACGTGGAAAACATGAAAAAATGTTTCTATTTGCCATCATTAGTAAATTGATTACCGCAACAGCTAAGCAGTGTCAAGTGTCTGACCAGTGTCTAGAGACTGCTGTAAGCTGTGACCATAAAGGGTGATGTCACATCGAGCAGTCACAAACGATCACAGGTCCCATCCAGCCAGATAGACAAACACACAGACACCCATATAATATATAGTTTTATATTAATTTAATAGAAGATACAATATATATATATATATATATATATACATCAATCTGTCTATGTGTATGTACATGAGTAGTGGAGGGGCTTATTCATTAAACTCGAGTTACAGTGAATTAAAGAAACAAGCTGAAAATGTAGGGGAAATATATTCTTTATGAAATCTATCCAGCTCAGCTATTGTCACAGATTCCATTTATTTTTTTCATTGCAATTGTCTGTTTAGTGAATATCCCCCAATATGTTTTTTTTGTCTGTAGCCCTTTTTCCATCAGTAAATGTCAGTAAAATGAAAGGGATGAATTAATAATGTCAGCTACCGATAATGGCTGCTCCCTAGGAGTGTGACTCCTATCAATCTCAGGACAGATCGAACAGCCCCAAAACTGTATTATATGTATTAATCCACTTTATGTAACGCTCCTGTGTGATCCTAACAGTAACCCAGCCATAATCTAACTAACTAGCCATAACTATGGTCAGATAGCCATGCGCAGAACATTTTGTTAGGGTGTGCACCCAGGAATTCTTTCCCTTTGTTATTGTTTAATTTTATATAATATAAGTATTAAATAAACACTCCAAACACCATAACCACTACAGCCTGCTTTAAAGGTTATGCTGCTAGGTGTGCCTTAGTGCTCCTTTATAGTAAGTAACCAAATTGTTTAAGGATGATCTGACAACTTAACTGTGTGCCACCGGGTGGCTGGCTCTCCTGCAAGGAGCTTCTGTTAGCTCCACTGAGGTATGGCTGCTGTACAGGGCCGGCTCATTGGCTGAGAGCTCCGTGGTTAATGAGTGCAGCCCTGCACGGAATTACTAGCTCAGTTGGCAGGAGCTTCCAACAGCAGACAGTGTGGCATTTGCACCCAGGGGGACCCAGGTATGTTGTTAAACCATTCTTAAATGGTTTGACTACTTACTCTGGGAGACTGCCAAGGTACTACTGGCACCATAAGCACTGCAGCAAGCTATGTATAATGAGTTGTAGTTGCAATGAAGGGCAGGCTTCCAGTGCTGGATATAAAGAGCTAGTCTCTGTATTCATCATTCAGAGGTTGGCAGTGTCCAGGGCCAGATTAAGTGGGCCTGGTGCAGACAGTTATGAGGGGCCTAAGTAAAGAATCCTATTGACCAAAAACACTAAAATAGTCATACCTCTCAAGAGTTATGTAGCTGGTGGAGATGTTGCCGGAGGGAAACACATAGGATGCAGCTATAAGAAAACTCGATTCTCTTAAAATATGCTTATCTCTCTCTAATTCATGCTTTCACCTTTTAAGTAAAATTCATACTCACTGGCATACAGACCGCGGTCGCAGGTGTCACCCTGCGGATCCCTGCGACCGGGTACTCGACGCCATCTTTTGCGGCCCCGGCCCGCACGGCAAACTGCCAGGGCCGCCGTCCAAGGGATCCATCGGGTCGCCCATGCTGTCAGGGCTACGCGATGGAAATGGATTGTCAGGGGGCTTGGTCAGCGCTGGGCGCTTT